GGCAATGGACGGTTTCCGAAAAGTTCTCACGGTGGCGAACGGCGGTGATAAAGTGGGGAAGATGACCGGAAATATATGTATAAAAGGCTTGAATAAATTGTACCAAAAAGCCTTCTAACGGATTACCTAGACACCTACTTCGATTAATCTTGGTGGATCAATTAATCAAATCTCCCTAACTCTCGAACAAAGCTCTTTCTCTCGTGTATGTAGGAGAAAAATCGGCCAGCTCTAGTCTTGTGCAAGAGGTTGGGACTTGGTGTATTTATAGGCTCCAATTGGGACTTTACGGAAGTGCTGAATATGGGTTTATCCCATTAGGCCAAGGAATCCTAATCTCATTCTATCTACTAATCCAATCTAGGATAGAATTCTCCTACTACTCATCATCTTCTAGAAGACTCTCAAGTCTCATAACATTAGACAATATTCAAGTAGGAATATTCCCTTCCTAATGGAATAATAAATATGGAATAAAATTGATTCCTTATTAAATGAAATTAAATAATAAAATATCCCACTAGAGTAATATTATTTCTCTCCCCATTTAGCTCATAATTTATCAATAAATTCGAACCTCCATGATTAAATAATATTAATATGATTGATCGATTTACCTCTCTATGTTTCAGATATAACGTCCGTTGATTAATTAAATTACTGACAAAATAATTAATCAACATCTTATTCATTTTCGAAATTAGTACCACTCAGATCCTTAACAAGTATGTCAGACAATCTTCTACCTGCAGGGTTTTAACATAATGTACATTCCTGAGCTCATTTCGGTGACGTCATCAATCCAGTGCACTGGAACATAGTGACCATAAGTAATTTATAATAGCACATCATATAATCGTTCTTATTTACCAAAATACCTCGTATGTCATCCTAAAAAAAATAGGAATCAGTTGGTAAATCAAATAAACAAGAAGTGAATATATATGCATAGTTTATATTATCATACAACTTAAGAGAACACATCAATCACCGAAGGTCTAGATTACAACGACGATCAGTGAGTCTCATAATCTTATCCTTCTGCGGTCCTGTTCAACACTTATCATAAGTGCTAGTGTAATTCTTTAGGCAAAGACCAACTGAATCAAGAATACACTACAGTCTTTTTCCAAAAGGGGTCTCACTGCCTGTCTAGACTGTGAACGAATAGTTTAGTCTTTTAAGGTACTGATAGGTGATCTTTCTGTTCGAAACACTTCGAACCACACTATCTCAATATAAGACAAGGAGTATGATTTGCATAGATAAATAAACTGCAAACATATGTACTCTGACTGAATCATGATGGCCAGATCAAAATGGAATCGATAGAATCTACAAAACATAGCTTTTACAGCATATCTCTAACAACGAGTCATCTCTCAGGTCGTGGAAATAGCTGGCCTTCTCCATTTCGACACCATTCGATCCTTCAGCCTTCTTTGCACAACCTACCTCCTGCAAGCAAAAACAAGGAAAATACACAAAACAAGGCAAAAAAACGCACGAATAGAGATAAAAGAAAAAACCACAAAACCAACATAATAGACCAAATACGCTAAGAAAAACCTAAAAATGTGGAAAACAAGAAGAAAATAAACTCGAAATAAAGACATAAAAATGAGACAAACACTGTGGTATGTGGATCTCAAGATAATGGCTTAAGAATTAGAAGAAAAACGGTAAAACGAATAAAGTCGACGCACGTAAGATACTCTCCTCTTAAGGCGAAATTGCCCCTTATATTACACACGGTTCACGGCTAACACCTCCGAGATACGACGACTTTTGATTTGTGTATAGCGGTAGCTCAAATACACAAACATTCAGCGAACAATACTCAAGTTTCGGAACTCTCAAGATAGAAAGGAACACAAATAATACAAAATGATTTATGAACTTTGTAAAATGATGCAAAGAGCTCTTGAAACTTTTATGACTTCAATGATTTCATGTTTGTGGATATTTATTGATGTAGGAAAACACCTTAAATAGGTTTAAGTGTCAAAAGACATCTTTTGGGACGTGTCTGGACAAGAACGGATACATCTAGTGGTCAAAATAAACCTAACGGTCACCAAGGGTCACGACCGTTCGGTGCTGCGTGCTGGTGTGCCGCGGGCTTGTACGAGCTCATACGGACTCACTATTGAGTTCCGTGTTTTTTTTTTCTACTTGTCCCCAACGAACTCGTCTAGAGTACGAGCATGCAAACTGTATGATTAGGTCTTGTTTGGATTGTCCTAACACTCGTCAATGACGGAATAATTTGCGAATCCGATAATATTTGAGTTATTTAAATTCAATTGCTCCAATCTTACATTTCTCACATATGCAACTTAGAATTAATTTCTCATTCATCTTAAACTTGTTTTAAGAATTCTCTAAATTTTTCACTTACAATAAATGGAACCGTGAAATCGATACAAAACCATTTTTTTTTTATCACAGTGCCATTATTCACTACTAACCTCAATGTACCAACAAATCATCATCATCATCATCATCATCATCATCATCATCAAACTTGGTTAATTTCTACGCTTAGCTGGAAAACTTGGTGAAGGAAAGCGAGAGATGGTAATCGAAAGGAAAGCCCAAAAATGGGCCTTTTTGTTCTCATACTGTATTAGTGGTGTCATTATTACCATCCCGAGTTTTATACGTACATAAACATATATTTACTCTAACCATAGGAACACATATATTATCAATCAATATAGCTACTTATTTATGCCTACTTCTAAGTACATAAACATATAATTAAACTGCCAGAATCCCATTAGTCAAAATCTGGGCATTGGAATATGGTGAGCCCGCTGCAACCTCTACGGGCCTTGATACCTCGTAGCTGCACTTCTCTGTGGGCTCGTCTATCCTCATTTGCCTGTACCTGCACTCCGCGCTGCAAAATGCTTTTTCTCCCCTGCAAAATTAAAATTAACACATTAACTTCTAATCTCGTATTATAATAACAACAACAACAACAATAATAATAATAATTATAATAATAATAAATAAACAATAATATTGCAATTTGTAAAGTGGAAATCTACAAGTATTTTTTCAAAAAAAAAAAAATATATATATACATAGAAATATGTTATCAAGTTTGTGTAAAGTTGATTTTTTTAATGTTTGTATAAAGTTTATTTAATTTAGAATCATTGAGAAGAGAAGCAAACTTGTATCCGTACCTGTACATATAAATATCCTTGCCATGGAGTGACTTCCGGCATAAATTGCAGGCGCTCAGAAAATCCTGCGGCGGAATCAGGGAGGCATCCCCAATTCTCGCCGGCGATATGTGAAAAACGCTGCCTCGCTTGGCGTTATTATGTATTCTGTATGGGAATCCATTATCTTCACTGTTAGAATAAGCTCTGGTGTACGACTTGTTCGGGCGGTGACAAGTCACTATAGTATACTCTTCCACACTCTCCATACCCACAATTTTTTCCTCTGAATTCCGGCAATTTCTGGTTGACATCACCGGAATCGGGCTGGACCGGCTCGAATTCCGGCCACACAAGGCCTTATTGTCCGAACTGGATTTTCCCAGGGCCGCCACTATGCCTAACCCAACACCACCAATATCAAAACTTTTGAGCCCTCTAGGTGATTGGGCCGTGGGTTCCGTTTGCTTTTTGGAGCTTGTAGCAGTATCCGCCGGCCCGGCCCGGTTTCCAGATACAAATGACCCGGTCAGAATATCCATCACCGGCCTCGTTGATTTCCCTAACATGTCTACAAAACTCTTCTTCTGTTTTTTCTCTCTCTCTCTGATCTCTAATTTGATATTCTTTAATTTTGATTGTTTTTTTCTAGAATGAATTTGGGGAGTTGTTCTTTTGAGCACTCTTTCTGTGAAGGGCTGTTACTGAAGCTTCAAAATTTATGATTGATGGGGGGTTGTTAAAATTGTAAGCCCGCCCATGGTTTGGTTTGGAGTTCAAATAGTGGTATTTGATGATTTTACAGTGTGTGTGTGTGTGTGTGACAAAAAAGGCGGATGACAATTGAGAGCATCTTTAATAATAAAACCTCCATAAACCTCTTTTTACACTTCCCAACATGCCACATCATCAAAAACCTCATTCTTACTCCTACATCTATAAACCTCCAATAACAATAAACTTCATAAACCTCTTTTTCATGGGTCCCACATGTTTCATACTTATTTTTAATTAATATTATATTCTTTATTGGAAAAAAATAAAAAGTATTATATTCTTACATTTTTTAAAACACATATAAAAACTAATTTAATTATAATGTTCCTCACTTACTTTTAATTAATTTTATACTCATATATTTATCACAAGTACATATAATATAATAAATATAATTATATTGTATTATTTATAATTATAGTGTGTTAATTACTAACGACGTAAATGAGATTTTAATTAATATTACTCTTATATATATAGTAATATTTTAAAAATAAATATCCACTCTTATTTTAATTCAAACTAAATATTTCATATATTACCATAAATCTATATAAAATCATGTTAAATAAGTTAATGAATTATTAAAAAAATAATACTAAATTAGAAATAATTTTTTTTAAAAAAAAAGTAAAAGAAAACGTAAGTAAAAATAAAATAAAGAAAAAAGTGAAACATTTTTTTTTTTAAAAAAATAGTTTACCTCATGAATTTAAAAAATAACGAAACAACAAAATTAAAAGAAGGCACATGGGTGGGCACCAGTGGGCCATAGCCTCTCCACT